GCTTTCCTAGTTCTTTTTGTCATTTCTGAGTATAGTTGATCAAACAAATGTGTTGTCATTGACCTCCTTTTTTCCTCTTAACCCCATAATTTGTCAAGCTTTGCCTAAAGAATCTTTGTAGCCTTAATTTTCTCTCTGTTGCCACATTCTTAGATCTAGCTCACATGTTCCCCCTTGCATGCCTTTGTTTCACCATTTCTGGTTTTTGCCTTCTTGATCTTATATATTAAAAGGGAAAGACTGTACAGGGCTCTGAGTTTAACTTCCAGTTTCTTCTCTCATTCTTGAATAGTATAGTCTATGTATACTACTTAGTGTAGAATGGTCTAGTTACAAGAAAAGTTGGGACATTTATCATACTGCTTAATAGCAGCTCTCTACCAGGTGTAGGCATCAGAATTCCTTGTGGAACTTAAAATATTCTCATTCCTGGGCCCCACTCCAGACCTCTTGGATTAGCATTTCTGGCATGGAGCCTGAGTATAAATTCCACTGGGGATTTTTCTGCAGACACTCAGTTAAGAACTGCCTTATTGGAAGGCCATCTCAAGCCACTCAGGCAGATCAGTATATGTAAATGTTAGTTTTCATGACCTCATGGTCTTTTCTAACACCCTTCTATGGCTTTCCTATTACTAAAGAATAAAGTCAAAATGAAGCTGACTATTAAAGACCCACTTTTGGTCACCCCAGTTTATCTTGTTAATACTATTTTTTACCATTCTTTTTGATAACTATTTTCCTATCAGACTGAAATTGCAATCTGGCGTTATTTTTCAACCAACTGCTTCTCTTATGATGCTGTAGAATGTCCTGTTCCCTTACCCCTTTATCTTCTTCAAAAGAAACAACCTTTTATCTTTTAAACTGTGTCTCAAAAAGGTTTACCTTCTTGATAAGCTTTTCCTAGTGCCCTCAGTTAGAAATCGCATTCCTTCTTTGAACTCCAAAACATTTATATACTTTATTTTTTACACTGATCCCTGATTGTTTTATCTCCAGACATCTTTATTCCCTACTAAAGCTTTTTGATGACCCATTCTGTTTGTGTATTACACCATCACTCTCTAAGTATCATGGGTGCTTACTTGGTACATAATAAGTGCTGGGTTTCCATCTCCTCTTGCCCCTTGTCACTTGCCCCTTCTGATTTCAGGATAGCCGATTACATTTTTATAATGCATAGTGAAATGTATTTAAAAATGCTGCTGGCATATTAAACTGGTCTTAAGTCATTTTCCATAAAATATAAAATTTTTTGCTTTTCTTGGATTTTTTAGGGTCCCAGAAGAAAAATAAGAAATTCTACATTTGGCTTTGACAGACTTCTCATGTACAGCTACTGTTTTTGTGATAATCATAGGACTCAGAGATGTCAGGCTAGCTTTTCCTTTTGTAATGTTTGCTAGATATGGGAATTATTGGGAGACTATTCTTTATGGATCTCTCACATGTTATGCATGTTTTGCAAGCAGAGATACAGACTGACTGTGTTTTTTCTGGACTATCTTTTTCAAGGATTTTATATAGTGAGCAACCTTAGGAGACCAATAGTATTTCTTTTCAGAGCAAAGAATAGGTTTGCTTATGGTCTGGTATAAAAATAGTGTCTCCTTCCAGAGTATGTTAACCTAGAGTTTAGTGTAGTAAGGATAAGTTTAGTATAGTAAGGACCCTCCAGTGCAAAGAATGGGTATGCTTATGCCCATTATAAAATATTTGAGTTCTTTGTAAGCTCAGGCTTTCTTTCCTGTAACGCAACCCATTGCATGTATAGTTGTTACATGGACCTTCTGTGGCATCCCTTGGGAACTGGGGCATAGGGAACTGGCTTAAATACTGATACTGGCTGCTGCTACTGCCTTGAATAGTAACATTATCTCTGACCTAGGGGTCTTGTGTCTTCTGCCAGCATCCATGAAACTGGCAGAATAACTTATTTGTTAGCTTACAAGTAGGGTAAAATCTCAGACCCTTCACAGTTCTTAGTAATAATTTTAAAGCTACTCTTTTCATACCTGAAAAATCAGCCCTTCTGTAAGTAACTCTTGTTAAATTTGGATGAGATTAGAATTTAGGTGCCTTATGTCTATATTCTTTATTTTCTCCCTATTCTTTTTCATGAAAATTAATTATTCGAGTTAAAGGATTGTCATTCTGAGATTGTCCTGTGAAATAATGCTATTAATAGTATTCTCTATCTTTCTCTCTTTTCCCTAAATAAAAGCACTGCTGTTTTCTGAGGACGAGCATGTTGATTTGTTTACTTAAAGCTGAAGTTTGGAATACATATTGTCTTAAAATGAGAAATGGCGTATTAGGGAGAACATTTCTTTTAAATTTGGGTATAACATCACTTTAATGATAAACTAGCTAAATAATAAAACATGTTGGATAATGCTAATGCTACCGGAAAAGAAAATAAAACAGAATAAGATTGTTTGGGTGGACAGAACAGTATTGAAATTTTAGATAATGTTGGCTAGGGAAGGCCTTACCTGGTGGCTTCTGAGTAAAGAACTGAAGTAATTTCAGAGATGAGCCGTGTGACTTTCTGGAGGGAAGGCATCTAGGTAGAGGGAAGAGAAGTGCAAAGGCCCTCCAGCAAAGTGTGCCTGATGGGAAGCATTGAGGAGGCTGGTTTGTGATGCTTTGAAAACAGGTAAGGAGAGGGTTGGAGTATTGACCTTTGTCTTAGCTGTGTTTCTATACTTTACCCCAGAGCATTTGCTTTTATGTTTATGTATTAAGAACCTTTCCATTTAAGAAATGAGATTCCTTTCTTTAAAAACATATTTGAAAACTACTGAACTAGGTAGCTTGTCTTCCAAACTATTCTTAGTTCTCATTGACAGTCTCTGTAAGTGCCTATTTTTCAACAGTCAATTAAGTGCCAGTCCCACATTGGTGTGTTTTTTAATTCAGCAGGTATTTGAGAGCTATATTCAACCCTACTTTATGTGGTTTATTTTTAAGCCCCCACATGATTATATTCTTTGAATATATATTCTGTTGAAGAGAAGAGGCTGAGACAGCTTGGAACAGTTAGAGAAATAATATAAGATAGGATTCTACTTAAAACCTCTCTAGCCAAGGTCACTTCTTACCCTTTATTACCAAATATAAAAGCTAGTTTTCAACTCTTGTTGGCCTTGAAATATTAGAACCATACCGTTTCCTTGAAACACCATCCTATCACTCTGGTTGCACCATTTCTGTTTCTCAAGGATTCCTCGTTCCTTGAGTTTATACCTTAACTGCCTCCTCTTCTCACTCTCCTTAATCTCTTCAGATATTCTCATCTACTATATGACTTCAGTTACCACCTATAGATTGTTGATTCTCATATCTAAATTTGTAGTCTAAACCCTTCTCTTGAGCTGAGGTGTTAGCAGTTGTAATAAGTTGGATTTTTACATATTCATTTTTATATTTAAAGCAATATGATATCTTTTACCTACAAAAAAAGAAAAAAGAACTTGTTCTTCCTCTCTTTACTTTGGTAAATAGTATTCTTGTCCAGTTGATTAAGTTAGAATCTTTTACGTTGGTGACTACTAGTCAAAGACTATCAGGTGCACATCTGTAGTAAACAAAATTAGGTTTATTGATGTCTGCAGCAAGGGAAGCCACATACCATGGGGAACCATGAAATGTCAGTAAGATGATATTGGACAGACTTAGAGAATGTGGGCTTTGTTGGGTAATTTTGGGGAGAATTCAGGGAAGTGATGAAAGTTTCCTCTGGATTAGATGCTGTGAAGAAATGGGGAATAAAGCTATGAATAGATATCTTAATAAATCTGATCTAGGAGGTGACAAGAACAGTGTGAGGCTAAAACTAATTGGTAAAGAAGCAGCGATCACTTGTGCAAGATGGGATTTTTTTTGTGGTTTGCATGGAGTCCTTGCTTTTGTCTGTTCTCAGACACAATTCTACAGTGGCTTGGGTTTGCCTCACTTCCATCATAGTCACAGAGGACCTTTTCCAGTGTTGGTGATCTGTGAGATCCTGTTTGACAGAAAATGCCACAGTCTAGCTGTGAGTGCTGAGCTACCTCCTAGCTGCAAAGGGCTGCTTTTCTCTCTGGGTCTCACTTATTTAGGATAGATGTAGATTGGGTGGCATTTAGACAATAGGAAGATGTATTTTAGGGTATTTGAACAAATAATTTACGTGCTGTTGGCTATGTGTGAGGGGCAGTAATGTAACTTATTCTACTGGGAATGTATCAGTAGGATCTAGGGTTATATTGAAGTAGAGACGCCTCGGTTGTTAATGTCAATCTTACATGGGGCCTTTTAGAGCTAAATGTTTGAGTACTTACTTACTATTTGCCAGACACTAAGTCCTTACATCATCTCTTTTAATCTTTCAAGTATGTTGAGTCAGAAAGGAAGGATACATATTTCTGTCTTTGGGAATAAGAACCAAACTGGAAATCCAGGTATGGCTAATGGTGTAGACTGTTAAGCAATGTTTCAGAGTGTGAGTTTTAGCATAATCATTTGGATTGATTAGATATAAATGGTTAGTAAATTTTTAAAAATAGCCTGTGGCAATGTACAGGATGACCATAAACTCTTGGTTTTAGGTATTTATTTGGCTTTCCTCATGATGTAGGCCCAAATGTGTAATGTGCAAAAAAAAGAAGAAGAAAAAAGCTTCCAGTGAAGGGTATGTGTTGTGGTGGTAAGCTGTAAAGAATTTGGCTTTAAGTTAAAATAAATATATGTTAGAAATAGTGTGATTAAAAACTATGCTGAAGTTAGGGATGAAATTACTATGAAATACATCAAAAATGGTGAATAGATATGTGATGAATTGCAAAATGCTAATTGTAAAATCTAAATGGTTGGCACATGGCTGCTCACTATGAAATTCTTTCAACCTTTCTGTATATTTGAAACTTTTAATAATAAGATATTAGGGGAGGGTTGAGGTATAAACTGACTGCTAAAGTCTTCTCCCTGACTTGAGGCTTTTGTTTTCTCTGTAGGAACTTTCCGCTGTACTTTTTGCCATACAGAGGTAGAAGAGGATGAGTCAGCAATGCCCAAAAAAGATGCACGCACACTTTTGGCAAGGTTTAATGAACAAATTGAGCCCATTTATGCATTGCTGCGGGAGACAGAGGATGTGAACTTGGCCTATGAAATACTTGAGCCAGAACCCACAGAAATCCCAGCCCTGAAACAGAGGTGAGTGTAGGCCCTGTGCTCTGACTACGAATACTTCTCAACCTGTTCTTGTTTTAACTACCTGTACCTTGGAGAACAAGAGTGGGTAATTTACTTGGAGACTCAAGACTGTAATGTTACATAGGTTCTTAGTTCTGCCAGGTTTGTTGTGTGCCTGTGATGAAATTCGTTTGTTCTAAATGCAGAACACTGTGGACTTTAGGCAAAAATCTTTATACATAGGTTTGACTTCAAGTACTCATTCTGCTTGGGCCTGCAGCAACTCAGCCAATTGTTAGCTAATCCTAAATTAATTGTGCTGCTTGGGAATATTTGAATTTTCCTATCCAGCTTCTGAAGGCTGAAGTTCTTTAAGGAACTTCAGTGTTTAAGGAAATTCAGTGTTTTCTTTTTTGTTTTTGAAGCTTTTTAACCACCTTTTTTTCTTGTAATTGCAACTTCCTTGAAAGTAAAGTAAAGTATAGCTGGTGTTATCTATGGGTTAATACTTCTAACAGTGGCTCCCTGTTTTTATCAGTGTTCCCTAATGTGTGAATTGCAGAGGTAGCCTTAGTTTTGCCATGCCAGAAAAAATGGTTTATATTCTTTCTTGAAAAGCATAAATGAAAATTGGGGTCAAGGAGTCTCTCCTACTCTACCCTTTTTTTTCTCTCCCTCTTCCCAGAATCAAGTAAGGGATATCTTTATTTAGATATCCTTTACTCCACCTACTCCCTTCCAAAAAACTCAACAATCAGGTTGTACTTGTCTAGTTTTTAGGAGCATTCTTATATTTTATTTCCTGTGGTACCAATGTTACAAAATAGCCAGTACTGAGTAAATTGGGCTGCTTTTGGATGGTTAAAAGTAATCCAATTTTACAGAAAATTTTGTATCTGTAAGAGTTATAAATTTTCTAATCCAGTACCATGTGTCAGTTAGGATGACTTTGCCTGTGATAACAGAATATGCAACTCTATTTGGAATTAGAATCCAATGTAGAAGTAGATTGAACAATAAGAAAATATATCCTGTATGACCAGAAGTCCTGAGGTAGTCCAGTTCAAAATTGGTTAATTTCACAGCTCAATTATATCTTCAGGGATCTAGATTTGTTCCATCTTTCTACTCTGCTGAACTCAGCCTATTGGTTGTCCTCTTGGGACAATGAAGGGAGCTAGCCTAAGATGGCCATGTATTTCTAGGTATCACATGCAGATAAAAATGTCCAAATGCAGAAAAGGGGACTGTCCCTTCCTTGTGATCTATTTTAAAACTGAAGAAAGGTTTCCCAGAGGGCCCCCTGGGATACTATACTATCTATCCCCCAATGTTGTCTCACTGGCTACAGTTGCTTTATATGCATATTTCTAAGCCAGCAGCTGGCAAAGGAAGTGAGATCATGTGACTGGTACTTAGATTAGTCACCTTCTAAGACTAGGGAAGGTCCCAGAGTTCTTTGGAGCAAATTGCCATTGGTATTTGAGTAAAACCAGTAAGCAAAGAAAGAAAGGAGCCGCAGTTGATAAGAAACTAATAGCATCCATATCACAGATAGCCTTAAGTTTTAATACTGGGTATTTATTTCTTTTTGTATAAGAAAAGGAATTCATCTTTTTAAAATATCTTATTTAGTCATTTTAAGTTAGCTCTAACATACAAGCTTATGAGGGAAATTGATTTTATAAAAATACAAAATTTTCTAAGCTTAGGGGTTATTTTGTGTTGAAGTATGCATCAATGTACTTACTATCTGATTGCTTCCTACACAGTATAATACTATCTGAATTATTCTGATGTTTCCTCTCCTTTCTGTAGTTATTTGTCCTGTTTATCAAGATGCTTCCCCACTACAGTAGCATTCGGTCACCAACACCACTGGCTTCCTGCCTCTAATGTTCTCCACCTACCACAATCCACCTTCCCTTCCAGGATCTTTATTTAGATACCCCACTCACTGCAGGCCTGAGATGAGTCTTAGTGGTACAGCAACACCAGAGGCCCAACAGCAGCTCTCTGTATCAAGTCACCTTCTTCTCATCAGGAATGATGGTGACTCCAGGGATGAAGAAGAACTAGGAAGTTGAGGAAATAAACTGATCAGGAAAAAGGATGCCTAACAGTCTGGTTGTTAAGAAAGAAGGGAGGAAATGGAGTAAGACAAGAAAGACAGGATAGAGTTCCTAGAGCTGCCAGCCAGACCAAAGTAAAATCGTTTCCATGTGATCAGGAAAAAAAATCATTAGATTAGAAGATGTTGCCCAGATTAAGATATCCCCACCAAAGCATTTGACAAGTTCCACTGCCTGGATATAACTAACATGCCAGAGGTGGTATCGATTTGGTTTTTCTATACTACAGGAGTATGAAGTTTTGAAATGGCCCATCCTGCCCCAAGGACATAATAGTCCATCCTGCCTCAGTACAAGAGATAAGAGTCAATAGAATGGTATGGGAACTCAGAGATAATAGCTTTCTTAAAAAAAAAATGGCACTATTGTTAGTTTGATTGCGATCTGTAATCAGTTAAATTCTAGCTTGTCCCTAGCTCAGAAACCAGAGGCTACCTATGAAGAACTGTCAGTAGGCCAAACCCAAGAGTTGATGGACAATTCTGTCTTTTCAGCAAGTCAACCTATTGATGATACATTAAAAGTCTGCCTGTCTTTCTAAAGTGGAATTTCTTGCCAGTAACCTTCCCTTTTTCATCATCTCTTAACACTCACCTTAAAGATCTTTAACAATTTAGTTTTGAAATAATATTCCCCTCTCATATCAGAGGAAGAGTCATATCTTTTAAAAGTTCTAAAATTTCTTAAATATTGTAAAAATATTCAAACATGAATTGTCATTTTTGTCATCTTTAATTAAAATTGTTCCAAATTTTGAAATTTGTTTGACTTGTGGTCAAATGTCTGCTGCCTCAAACTGTAATAAAAGCCAACTTGAATTTATGACAGAATACTGAAAACAAGACTTTTTTTCTTCTAATTGCATTTTAGGTTTTCGGGTACATGTACAAACATGAAAGATAGTTGCAAAGGTACACACGTGGCAGTGTGATTTGCTGTCTTCCTCCCCTTCACCCCCATCTGGCATTTCTCCCAGTGCTATCCCTCCCCAGCTCCGCCCCCACTGTCCCTCCCCTGTTTCCCCCAATAGACCCCAGTGTGTAGTGCTCCCCTCCCTGTGTCCATGTGCTCTCATTGTTCATCACCCACCTATGAGTGAGAATATGCGGTATTTCATTTTCTGTTCTTGTGTCAGTTTGCTGAGAATGATGTTCTCGAGATTCATCCATGTCCCTACAGAGGACACGAACTCATGGTTTTTGATTGCTGCATAATATTCCATGGTGTATATGTGCCACATTTTTCCAGTCCAGTCTATCATCGATGGGCATTTAGGTTGGTTCCAGGTCTTTGCTATTGTAAACAGCGCTGCAATGAACATTCGTGTGCATGTGTCCTTATAGCAGAATGATTTATAGTCCTTTGGATATATACCCAGTAATGGGATTGCTGGGTCAAATGGAATTTCTATTTCTAGGTCTTTGAGGAATCGCCACACTGTCTTCCACAATGGTTGAACTAATTTACACTCCCACCAGCAGTGTAAAAGTGTTCCTATTTCTCCACATCCTCTCCAGCATCTGTTGTCTCCAGATTTTTTTAATGATTGCCATTCTAACTGGCGTAAGATGGTATCTCAATGTACTTTTGATTTGCATTTCTCTGATGACCAGTGATGATGAGCATTTTTTCATATGTTTGTTGGCTTCACGTATGTCTTCTTTTGTAAAGTGTCTGTTCATATCCTTTTCCCATTTTTGGATGGGCTTGTTTGTTTTTTTCTTGTAAATCTGTTTGAGTTCTTTGTAAATTCTGGATATCAGCCCTTTGTCAGATGGGTAAACTGCAAAAATTTTTCCCATTCTTTTGGTTGCCGATTCACTCTAGTGACTGTTTCTTTTGCCGTGCAGAAGCTGTGGAGTTTCATTAGGTCCCATTTGTCTATTTTGGCTTTTGCTGCCAGTGTTTTTGGTGTTTTGGTCATGAAGTCCTCGCCTACTCCTATGTTCTGAATGGTTTTGCCTAGATTTTCTTCTAGGGTTTTTATAGTGCCAGGTCTTATGTTTAAGTCTTTAATCCATCTGGAGTTAATTTTAGTGTAAGGTGTCAGGAAGGGGTCCAGTTTCTGCTTTCTGCACATGGCTAGCCAGTTTTCCCAACACCATTTATTAAACAGGGAATCCTTTCCCCATTGCTTGTTTTTGTCAGGTTTATCAAAGATTGTATGGTTGTAGATATGTTGTGTTGCCTCCGATGCCTCTGTTCTGTTCCATTGGTCTATATCTCTGTTTTGGTATCAGTACCATGCTGTTTTGATTACTGTAGCCTTGTAGTATAGTTTGAAGTCTGGTAGTGTGATTCCTCCTGCTGTGTTCTTTTTGCTTAGAATTGACTTGGCTATGTGGGCTTTCTTTTGGTTCCATATGAAGTTCAAGGTGGTTTTTTCCAGTTCTGTGAAGAAAGTCAATGGTAGCTTGATGGGGATAGCGCTGAGTCTGTAAATTACTTTGGGCAGTATGGCCATTTTCACGATACTGAGTCTTTCTAACCATGAACATGGAATGTTTCTCCATCGGTTTGTGTCCTCTATTTGTTGAGCAGTGGTTTGTAGTTCTCCTTGAAGAGGTCCCTTATGTTCCTTGTAAGTTGTATTCCTAGGTATTTTATTCTCTTTGTAGCAATTGTGAATGGCAGTTCATTCTTGATTTGGCTCTCTTTAAGTCTGTTATTGGTGTATAGGAATGCCTGTGATTTTTGCACATTGATTTTATATCCTGAGACTTTGCTGAAGTTGCTTATCAGTTTCAGGAGTTTTTGGGCTGAGACGATGGGGTCTTCTAGATATACTATCATGTCATCTGCAAATAGAGACAATTTGGCTTCCTCCTTTCCTATTTGTATACCCTTTATTTCTTTTTCTTGCCTGATTGCTCTGGCTAGAACTTCCAA